GAATTTCCACTCGAGCTATTGGTTCTGAAGTGCGTTCCTGCGACAGAAAAATGCAAAGTTGATCATTCAAACATTATTCGCTTAAACACTCCGCCCTTCAGTTCATTTGGATGGGTGGATTTCGTTTAATGCGAGATGTAGTCCTAGTGAAAATTGCACGCTCATCGACCGAAGCTTTCTCTGTGTCAAGCATAGCAGGTTCAAAGGTGACATGCACAAAACTAAAAAAGAAACAGAAACCTGAGTTTTTTAGCTATTAATTTTGTGGAATTTCACGTTAAATACAGTACCTAACAGAGAGATTTTGCACCGCGTTTGCGTGAAACGTGAACGGCATGAGTGACCTTATTTTTCCCACCATTCTTTCATGTTTGCTGGTTGAGCTTTGCCGTTTCTACGTTAAAGTAACCTGTTTGCTGTGTACGTAAGATTTTCTTCATTTTTTCGCTCCCAGAGTAGAAGTTCATTACCGAATAAAGGGCACAAAACTATTCCTTGTAAGTCAGACAAAAGCGTCTTCAAAACCATCATGACAGAGCTCGCGCGAAGCTAAAGCAGCAAGGTTCACACTATTTCACGCGAAACGTTTACCGTTTTCACGCAAGCTGACGTTTACCGTTTCACGTAAACGCGGTGCTAAATCACTCTTACCTCGTACCCAGATCCTACCGTGAAACTTACAACCACTCAGCCGTGAAAGCTTTGTGTATGAGATTTTACAGTACCTGGTTAATCTCCTTGCCGGTTGATTCAAGAATTCTCTTATCGCCCGTTCTCTTTCCTAATTAATCAAAAACGAACCGAATAAATAAACAAGTAAATAAGTAAACGAATGAATAAAAAACAAAGAACGTAAGAATTTATAGAAGAAACATTCAAATGACCAAATTTAAAACAAGGCTTCAACATACCAACTCTTTCTTTGTCTTCTTCTTCACTCTGCGTCGCTGATTGAACTTCCTTTAAATCAAACCGATGAAAACAAAATTTACATCCCACTTCATCGTGTCCTTTTGCATCCCATTCCACTCAGTTTTACTCTTTCCCTTCATAGCTATTTCTGCTTGTCCCGCGATGCTCTACTGTTGGAAATGCCATTTTGTCTCCATCCATTATGACCCATCTCTTTCCCTTCTACTCTCTCCCATTCCCTCCCAACATACCCCGACAATTCCATACCACTCCCCTCACCCTGAAAATTCTTCATCAAAACTACATCGGACTCGATATACCTACGGCTTGTTGTGCCTGTTTGACCAGTTGTGCCTGTTTGTATCGACATGCTATCACCTGCCTCGGTCCTTCCCTCATCAGTATCAAACTCGTGAGACAAGTCTTAAAAACAAAAAAACAACAACCTCAAATTATGAACTGTGTACCAACGTATGATTTAACATGAACGCTTTAAGCGTCCCCCACCCCCCCCCCAACCCCTCAAAAATCCCATAAGCAATTGCGCGCCCACTTACGTTCCCAGGCTATTACTCTTTTCCAAAGTGAGCTCTAGAAATAAGGAAAATTTTGTTGTTCACATATGCTAAAGCAACTTACCCAAAACAGTACTGTTCTCGGGGTGAGTAGTTTTCGTTGCGGCTGAGGATGACTTTTCCTTTACGAAAGCAAAGAAATTTACTGGTTACATAATTTTGGTAGCAAAGTCAGTGTTCTGCAAGTTTCACTCGAATAAAAAAAAAACTATGCGGCAACTGAGATTCTTTGCAGATCATTATATATGATTTCTTTCATGTCCTTAGGCTATGGAGGGGGGAGTTGTTGGAGTGCTTTTTTTGGGGGGGAGTGTCACATGGTTTTTGCGGGAGAACGGGGGGGTCAGTCGTGTTAACAGAGTATAAAGGGGGGACTACAGAAAATTGACTTCCAATGCGAGAGGATCATTTGAATACTACAGAGCTCTATCACTATGAGTTTTTATTCCTTCGTTCCCTGATTGGTCGAGGGAAATTGCGCCAACTCCTTCACTAATCAGATGCCGGCAAAACGTTAACCAATCATGCCTTGGTCTCTATGGATTTCATTCGCTTCAGGTAGTTGGCTTGTTTTTACTTTGAGTTATCTCAAACCCCTTGAGATATATTCCTTTACTTTGAGTGTCCTTTGTGATTTATGATTTTTTTTTTCACGATCCTGAAATCATGAGCGCTCCAAATGGTTTTTGTGACCCCAACAGTCTTTTCACTAACAACATAAAACGATCAGATGACTTCAAAACGTCATCATAACTTTTAAGATACCAAGTTTTTTTTTTGACCGATTAGAGAAAAACTCACAACGACTTCGAGAACGTAATGGCGTAATACTTTGTACTTATACCTGAGGGGGGTTGCTGTCTTCAGTTTCCTGTTTTTCTTGCTGTCTGTCTTTAATGGTAGCGACTTGTTCACGCTGGTAATTCAACTGCATTCAAAGCACAATAACGCAAAAGTAAAGTAAAAGTAAATTTCACAAAACCACGGCATAAATGAGTCATATCGTGGTTTCGTAGAAGCCAGTCCCGGCATAGCAGTTAACACCGTTGTCAAAGTCCTCTCTCTCTCTCTCCCCCGAAAGTTTGTCTTCGAGGGGGAAGAAGAAAGGAACCTGGAAACGAGGTTGCATAGCAGTCTCCTACATCGAGGGCGCTCTTTTAAAACGTACAGACGGTTATAGCAGTTCTCCTGACTTGTGCGATGGCGGATTGCTACCCCGCACTCAAAAAGGCCTGCCACTTCGCCACTGCATGATGCTCCAGTATTTGGGCGCCAACTATGTCGACTAAATAACGTCTTCAGCTTCATTTGTGTCAGGAAATATGAGTGAAATTACTAAAAACTCAATTGCTTAGGTCCTTATCCTTTTAAGCCCTAAGAGTGACTGGCATCTAATTTCTCCTTATAGTGTCACTGCTCAATCAACCATTACGGTAATGAGAATCAAAGAAATAATCATCAACTAAACTAGCCCTCGACTGTTAAACAAATTCTCCTTGACAGCACCATAGGGAAATGAGCAAAATGGAGAATATGCACAATGATGTTAGGCTATACACGGTTAAATATGTGGATAATTTTTTAATGCGAAATGTTAAGATAAATTGCTCTTTGCCTTGCAGTGGAGTGAAGTCAGATTGTGATAGAGCTTGTGACGTTTCCACTTTCATCTCCAGCTTGCAACATGCGAAGAAGTCGTATGCATTACACGTAAATCTTACAACTACGTAAGAGGACTCTAGATTTGTCACAGTTCCACCAAAGACATGTTATCGCATAGCTTTAAAATATTAACTCTAAAAACTACGGCTGCCCGACTCTTAACCTGCATTAACCGGCCACTTGACGTAAATTATTGGAGCCTCTAAATTACAGAAGCAACATCTGTGGTTTGAGCTTTGAGTGATTTCTACTTTAAATTCTGCGATGAATGACCATAAACTTCATAACCATGTATCTACAGTATACCTCATTCATGCTGACGTCATAACCTGCTTGAACTTTCAGGTCCTTGTCACCAATAGATAACAAAGGATGTGACGCCGATCTATCATAAAAGGAAAGCATTTATTTAGTAGTAGTCTGTATTTCTTCACAAGATAAAAATTACATATCTTACGTTAAAAACTTAAACGTCTAAAAGTAGCAAAACAGGTAAAAAAATGGAAAAACATACAAAACATTCTGCACCTACCACACTGCCTTGTACTCAAAAACTAAATGATTTACATGAGAATCTTTAAAATGGGCTTTATTAACTTTGAGGCGATGAAAAGATTTGTTTCTTAAGTTATGTGTCGTGTCCTTTTTGAGGGTGATGAAATTGTTTCAATGCCCCTAATTATTTTCTTCTTCTATTTTTTTTTTGGTTAGAATTTCAGGTACGTTTTATCTTAAGGACCCCAGATATAAATTTGCGCCTATGACATCTTTCTGGAAATCTGAACTCTCTGAATCGAATCGTCAAACAATATTCCAAGATCAAAGTCAAAGTACAAAAAAGTATTCTGTACCCAAGATACACGTACAGTAACACTTGTAATAAAGACTTTTGTCAATGGAAAATGGATATACCTAAAGATGGCGAATCCCTTCTCCTCTTCGTGTTCAGCTACAGTTTCCTCTTCATCTCTTTCGTCTGAGTCGTCTTCTTTATTGTCATGCCTTCTCTTGTCAAGCACAGACACAAATCTGCTCGGGCTGCCTGCATGAACAGTCCAAGATTAGAGCAAGTTTCAATCGGGTGTCGAAATATTACCTGGATAACAAGAAAATCCTGTTGTGGTTTTTATCATTCCTCACCTTGTTTCTCAGTCTCGCCCTTTCCTTCAAGCTGCACACTGAAGCGATCAGCACGTCCCTCCCCTCCTAAATTAGTTTTTGGTCTATGTTCTACCGATTCAGCCACAAGCTTTCTTAGATCTGTCATGGACTCGTGTGCTCGGCTAAGAACTCTGTTAAAGGAAAAACAGTTACTGATACACATCTGTCAAGTCTTGACTGTACACAGCGGGTGGTGATACATGCAGTAAACCCGAGGGAAATGTAGCTCAGATCAGGTTTTTTGGTTGAATTGATGTCACGCAAGTCCTCGTCTACTTGCTGTTGTTGTTTGGTATTGTCACGCAACAGATCTCTCCTAAGCGTTGCGTGACAAGACAACCCAATTTTGTAAAGGAGACGATCCACGGCCTGACCTCATTTATGACGACAAATCCCAACTATATTTCATCATTTCAAGATAAAAATTAGTGATAATAATTTTGAACGACGTTTCGACCTCACTGAGGTCATTTTCAAGCTGATGAAAAGGAAAATTTTTACATATATGTACTAAATTCAAGACGTGGGAATGATAAAGGCGATAAAATATGGAAATATGTAAACGCTAGGCGTAAAATAGAAGTGATAAAATTGCAAAGGAGACAATACGAATAAATTAATATGAGAGTTGACGAAAGTAAAACTATAAATTATACGAAGATACCGTAAATTATTATAAAAATAGCTTTGCGCGGATTGAGTCTGACTGTTTGTTCAAGCTTGGCTTAATTTCTTTTATAAAAAGCATCTCGTAAATTAGGCAGTCCAGTTTACTTTTGCATTTCTTCAGGATTTTGAAACTGTGATGCAAGTCACTTGGGGTATGCCCATGCCGCTCTTTAATGTGGTTCCCGATTGAAGACTGAGACGCTTTGTGTTCTTCAGCACGTTGGTAGAGGTGCCGGCATGTGTAGCCGACATAGTCTGCATCGCACAGACCACACTTAAAATAATACACAACGCGCTGCTGATTGATGATGTTGGGCTTCTTTTCCGTTGGTTTTAACTCATATCCGATCTTTCTGTTAGTGTACACAGGAGAAATGTCAGTTCCAATTTTTCGGCTTAGGTCGCCAAGTTGCCTTCG